CCTGTCCTTTCTTATTTTTTAGCATAAAGGAAGACTGTCTCTCTCCTTTCTGCCTTATTACTGCTTCTTTTATGCCACTGTTGCTTTCTTAAACTCCTTTCAAACCAGATTACCTGCTGTTCCATAGACTTATTTGAACTTTCCTAACATTGTACCTTTGTTTTGATTTTGTTAACCACTTATTAAAATGCCAGTTTTACATTTTTTAGAATTTGAAGGATTTTTTTGGTGGAAATGTAGAATTCATGTTTTTGACTACAATTTCAAGAATGCAGATATTTATATAGATACTGTGGCTTTTTTCCTGAGCATCGTGAGGCCTGCTTCCCTTCTTCCCTGTTACTCCTTCCAGACGGCATCATCTTCTTTCTCGCACAGCAGGCCGAACTTCCCACCTCTGGTCCTTGTTCGTGCTGTCCAATCTTTCTGAAATGTTCTCCCTTATGTGCCTTTGATTTTTTAGCCTGTTGAATATTTTGCTTTTAAAGCTCATGCCAACTATGATCATCATTAAATTTTTTTTCATTTCCAGCATCTTTGAATATAGCTGTTGATACTTTGTTCTTGATCTCCTCTATTTAATATTAAGCATCTTATCTTTGTTTCTTTTATAGTGCAAGTTGCTTACATATTTTAGATGCATGGTATGATTTTGGTTTTTGGATCATAGTAATTTCCTTAAGTTTAAATTTCTTCATAAAATATTTAATTTTATAGCCATGTTTAGGTTTTTTACTAAGGAGCAAGATAAAGCTAATTATACAGTCAAATGTAACTGTAAGGAAGTTAAACTTCTAATTCTTTTACCTTAATTATTATTACACAGTAATTAATAGAAACACAATGAATTATTACTTTTCTTGGCATTACTGTCACATTGTTTGATATTATGCTACTAATGTTCCTCTTATACGTTGGACAAGCACAGAATTTAGACTCAGTCAATCTGTTAACATGTTTATATTTCATATATCCTGGAAACAATTCCTACCATTTATATGCTAGTTTTCATAAGAATTTTTTATTTTTCTGTGTTTTTTCTTATATTATTAAGCTAGCCAAAGAAACCAATTACCTTAACAGTTTATATAGCTGTACCCCTCAAGATTCAGCAAGACAAAATATATTGTCACTGTTATGATTTAAACAGATCGATGTAAACTTAGGACATTGCCAACTTAATTGATTTAGTGAATGAAGAAGTTATGTGGAGTATTCTGTATTCTGACCCTTGTATAGGGGCAGCTGCCTTTTTGTTTTTGGAGACAGAATCTCACTCTGTTGCCTAGGCTAGAGTGCTGTGGCATTTTTTTGGT